AATTCTCCTGCCTCAGCCTCCTGAGTAGCTGGGATTACAGGCACATGCCACCATGCCCAGCTAATTTTTTGTAGTTTTAGTAGAGACGAGGTTTCACCGTGTTGACCAGAATGGTCTCGATCTCTTGACCTCGTGATCCACCCGCCTCGGCCTCCCAAAGTGCTGGGATTACAGGCTTGAGCCACCGCGCCCGGCCAGAAATGATTCTTAACTTCTGAGTCACAGGCCAGCTTTTCAGAATCACTAAATATTAATGAGGAAAACATGTTGTAAAGGGCACTCGAGGTCACTGCAGGTCACCTTATATTAAGGAAGGGACAATAAATAAATTAAACAGGTTTCTAGCCACATGTTTCCCTTCTTCAAAATGATTATGTGTTACTACATCCAATATAAAAATTATTCATTTTTACAACCTAGATTGCCTATTTTCAACGTCCATATTCATATCTATTCTTATTAAAATGTTTATATTTCAACACTAGAGAAAGGAAAAAGTCAATATCTCACAGGAAGATTGGAGGAATTGAAACGTGGAGCCAGAGAACTGCTCCAGTGTAAAGACCGTGTTGCTTCACAGGGGCTTATTTGCGGTCATCTCCTTTGCAATATAGTGAGCACAAATGCTCTCCACTACAGCTGCAAATGGCATAATTGGGAGGATGGCAAAGAAAAAAAAAGTCCTAGGGAACAAGGAACAAATATGTAGGTGATTATGGAAACTTCTTTATCCTAACAGATGATTTTGTACTATTTTTTTTTTTTCTATGCAGCTTCTTCAGTGACACTGAGAAGCATTAGTAGGGCTAGTTTAGTTGATGAGTGTCTAAGAAGTCGGTAGGAGATTGACTCTCATCCTGATTCTCTGGAGGCATTCCAAATTCACTGTTGGTTAATATTTTCTGTGATTGGTAGCTGGTGTTTTAGAGGTGGAAGCTGAATGGGTCCAAATACTATTTTAACCTATTCAATAATATTCAAGTAGTTTATGTTGATTGGGAAGATAAAAAAGCCAGGCAGAGGTAGCTTGTTTCAGCATTGAGTATTAGGTGTTCAGGAAATAATGGAAAATTTAAAAGATTTGGCCCCAGTTGTAGGGCTTAGCAATAGCAGGCAAAGATTCAGAAAATATGGTGCTTCTCAGAATATCTTTGGCAAGCTAAGACCCATCTATGTCATGTTTCTAGAGGAAGAACAGAAATGGGACATATGTGAACATTTTAGAAATATCCATCTTTTCAGAAAGTCATTGGGCTTTTAGAATTATTATTAAAGTATAGTCTCTCCATAGAAGCTAGAAAAGATAGGACAATTAAAAATGTCCATCCCTTCGTATCTTATAAACACACACATACACACACATGCACATGCACACATACACAGGTATATATATGATTAAAAATGTGGCAACATTAGGAAGGGAACTTCAACTAATAGCTTTGACTCTAGGGTTACTATTCACCATTAAATGGGGTAGGACTTTTATACAGTATAACCTCATACATTTAGTAACACATTGCCAGTCATAATTAAATAATTATTAGATGGTTTTATAAGATCTTACAGTTTGAGTAGGCAGTAACGGTAGCTGTATTTCCTCCAAATACAGCTAAAATTTAGTAAAATGTACTCTTAATTATAAAGCATCTAAATTTATGAGATAAAACATGCATTAATATAAACATAATTGCTATTCTATTAGAAGAACCTGTTTGTATTAAACCTGTAATACATTTCAGATACTGTGCTAAATTTTTTACCTTCTCATTGCTACTACTGCACTATATTCCTTCCTTTGAGATTCAGAGACTCTGAAAGGAGCTAAGTGGACTAGTTTTTCTCTATCGCTTGTAAAAGGCAGGCACTGACAAATACCTTCACTTGAAGCTTCGTGATTTCTGAAAGGTGAAATCATACTCCACCCACAGTTTAAATTAAGCAAGGTATAAGGCTCCAAGAAATTCTACTTTTTTTGTTGTTGTTGTTGTTTTCTGCTTGTTTATTTTGGAATATTTTGGGGAAAGATACACATTACTCTTATATCTGTAAAAATCAAGTTAACATGGGGGCAAGAGGCTAGCCTTCCCTTTCATTTCTTATCATCTTTACAATTCCTCATTTTAGTTGGCTTTCAAGTTTGGTACTGGCATAAAGGACAAATAGGAAAACAAGAAAACTGGCAAATGATTTTAAAAAATCAAATAAATCATACATTAGAAATAATTGATTAGGTCATAAGAGTAAGTGAAAAAATTTTAAGGAAAAAAACTCAAATTCCACAAACTAGAGGTATATCAAAATATTAATATTAGTTATCATGTACCAGACTTTTATCTTCTATTTGTGTATATGCATTTTAAAAAGTTGAGATAAGTTAGCTAAAGTGGCTTTGTATAAAATTCCTGTGAAATTATATATATATATACTTCTAGAAATGCACATGATTTTTAATGACAGCGTAGACTTGTAATACATAGAGATGATATATTTAACCATTATCTAATATTAGACATTTGTATTATTTCCTTTTATTTCCCTATATAATTATATTGTAATGAGCATCCTACTCATTAAATCTTTTATCACATTTTTGATTGTTTCCTTAGGATAGCTTTTCATAAGTGGTATTATAGGGACAAAGAATATAACTATTTTTAAGCCTCTCGATTCAAACTGCCAAATTATTTTCTAAAAATTACAAAGAAAGTTTCAGAGGGCTTTACTCTGGGAAAGACTAGTTGGTATAGTCTGAAAAATTTTCTCCTCTCTAAAATAAATTTGAATGTCTCTAAGTTTAGTTTTTCAGAAGGCTCATTAAATACTATTTAATAGCATTTGACTATATCCTTAACAAACTCATGCAATTGCCAGCAATAATTTAGTTAACATCATATTGACAAGTTCAGTGATTCAGCTTACAGACAAATGGCCAATAAAGTGGTCAGTCTCCATACAAACGCAAAGGTTTTTTTTTTTTTTTTTTTTTTTTTTTTTTGATAAGGCGTTCGTTTATGATATTCAGTATAGTAGCATTATAACTGTTGGGTGTACTAAGGAAGGAAAGCTCTCTCAAATCTACCCGGAATGTGTAATTAGTATCAAATGCTTCCATGTGTTCTTTTTAAACCTCTAAATAGCAAATTAACCTTTTATTATCTTGACCTCCTACACAGTATGCATTGTCCATGTTAATTTGTTCCTAAAGAAAAAAAAACTCTGGTTTACATTATCAGAATATCAACACACATTAAGCACCTGGAATGACATCTAGGTATCAGGTGACCAAATATCCACCCATTTAAGGAAAAAAATATATATATCATTTCTATTAGTTCCTTGGTTGAAAGTCCAATTTGCAAAGGTGAAAATAGAGACAGAGGAAACAAGAAATCTAAAACAGAGGAAAAAATAGCCACGCTGTTTTTCAGAAATGGCTCTGGAGTGAAAGCTCTGAGGTCATTACGGGGTAGGAGCCAAGCTGCACAAAGGACCTTATGACGAAAGGAGACCCAGGGAAGAGCTCTGAAGGCTGAGGGACCCAATGGGCAGAACACATGGCTTATCTGATAGTGGAGACAAATGTGCGAAGTCAATATAGCAACAAGCCTTGAAATTCCAGCATATGAAAAGAAATACCAAACATCCAGAAAGCTTTTTTAAAAATTATAATGCCCTGAAAGTCTGACTATAGAAAACACTAAGGCTCTCCCATGCTTCTGTAGACACACACTGAAAAATCTTTATATGCACCCATTTCTTCTCTTTAAAAACAAGGTCCTTCCTAAGGCCATGGAAAATACATTGTGTTTATATCTACTCCCCAAGAAAGCCTAGTGAAAAGGTCTTAAACTTATGCAACAATTAATATATGGACAAATTAATCACAGTGCCATCGTACAACTGCAACATAGTTGTGTCTTATTTATAAAAGTAGTGCTTTTGTTTGCTTTTTGTGTAAACTAGTTTTTTTTTTTTTAATTTTTTTAATGAAAGCAACAGACGCTCTTGGTAGAAAATTCAAAGAGCACAAAAGTATATAAAGTAAAAAGCAAAAGCCTGCCCACCTATCAACTTTAAGCTCCAAGTCCTCAGTAGTAACACA